TAAAGTTACGAAAAAGCAATTAAAGTGCCTAAGTGTGATTATCATTTTGCAAGTTTAATGTTACAATTGTAACGGTCAGGCTGCTCGCTACACTTATTACTACATTTTAACTTCTTTTATTAATAACATAGACAAATTTCTATTGCACCTTCAATGTCACAATCGATTATTTACTGTTAAAAGTACCCAATTTAATAATGTAGTAATACTAACCTGCGATGGGTGCAATCGGTACACCAAATTAATGTAGCATATAGCATGAAGAAAATAGTGACGTGTTTGATATCTTTACATCACTACTTTCATCGTGTCATAGTAGGCCAATCAATAGAGGTTTTGTTTGTGACAAAAATACTAGTAGCAAATGAACTGTGCCATCATATAAAAAACAGTCTGTAGATATATGCTTATATATTTCCTACTTCAATTTATCATTATTTAATTTTTTATAAACATTTTTATGCAAAAAACGCATTTATTTAGTTTTTTGTTTATAAAACGTAAACTAATGAAGCAATCTGAATACTATAAAGAGACAATGTGTAGAGAATCGAAATACGAATAAAACGAGAGGTCGATAATTAGGAACTAAAAGAAGAAAACGCGAAATAATCGGAAAACTCTTTTAATTCATTAGGTATTCCGCCATTTTTTAAGTTGTAGAGCGTACCCTGTACACAAAAGTAATGAATTATATGTACTTTAAGTGTGCATAAAGCAGGCGCTGTTGGACCATTAGTTTTGTAACTATTCCAATTTTAATTTTTTGGTGCACTATTATGCAAAATTTCTGGGTGCGTTGGAGGTGGTCCGATTTAAATTTTTCAGCCGGATTTTAAAAGTAGAAGTATAATGCTACATAACGTATATTCTAATTTTCCGTTAAAATGATGCGAAATAGGTGAAAATTTCCTCCAAACATCCTCAAAAACGGCCGAGCGCGCGTACACGGTCGAGTAGTGGGGGAAGATCGGGAGATGAGGGGCAGTGGATATACAGGGTGAGTCATTAATAATGGTACACAGCTTAATGGCATGTAACAAGTATACCTTTTTTTATTTAGAATTAAATGTAGTTCAATAATTTCTAATTTAAAAATTCAAAATTGTAAAATACAAAAAGTTGGATATATTTTTACGTTGATAGGGCACTATAACTACCACCCCTAGGCGTGACCCCATATTGCATATTCGTATTTGCCACCTCAAAAAACGTAAATCTACAAATTTTCAAAATAATTGGTATATACATACTTAAAATATAGCAAAAAATCGAAAATAATTTTTCAACTATAACACCTTGTAGAATGAAGAGGAAGCAACAATTGACTAAGGCATGTTTGGCTCAATCGCTATATTGTGGTGTTAACAATCTGACATTAAGCTGTGTACCATTATTAATTACTCACCCTGTATAGGTATACAATTTATCATATTGTCAATTCAGAGGATATCTCTCATAATATTCAGACATCCTCAGACTGTCTTAAGGATAGCATAGTCCATACTATATGATCCTGCAACATATGGTGGGATATCCGGAGGATATCCTGATTCATGGGCGTAACTAGGATTTTTGTTTTGGGGTGGGTCAAGCTCTATGGAGGCCCCTAAAAAATCGCAATTCAAAACCTAAACACTCCAGTAATAATGTAATATGGAATCTTACGCTACACCCATGTCCTGATTTGTAACAAAAGACACGTCGGACGTCCTATGACTAAACATAGCCAAAACCGTGCATCCCTGGGGTATAAGGATTGTGGTATTTGGTTTATTATTAAATGGTTAAATTGTTCCAATAAATCTCGAAAATATTTTTCCTATTTAAATAATTAGTTAATTCTGGGAAGCAAGTATTAGGGAAATGATGAAAAAAAATTATTAAATTTCCACTTTTATATGCCACATATTTTCATTCTAACTGAATTTTGGAAAATAATTGTTGATATATACTTAATATAATACACAGGGTGTAACTTTAATTGGGGTCAGCCTTTAGGGTTAATAGTACGTGTTCCTACGAATCTGAAATTATTATTATTTTTTAATCAAATAAATTTGATGATTAAAGTTTTAATTAGTTTTTTTAAACTGCATTTTAATTCGTGTGCATGATAAACCGGGGCATCCGGAATTTGCCAGTATGTAGTTTTTAAATCAACCTACACTGTGGGAAGTGACTGAAAAATAATTTAGTAAAACAGACTGCTTTTATATAACTTAGCGATTTGTCATTTTAAAGTCACCATATTTTTTTAATATTATTGTGGTGGGAGCACCGAACATTAAAAAACAAAAAATTTTAAATGGTTTGTTAAATATTAACTAATATTGGTACGGAGATACGTTACTAATTGTAAATAATATATTCTATAGCGAAACTAATGAAAAATAATTTAATGAAATCTGTTTGCTTTAATATGACAACGACATACTATTTTAAAGCCACCGTATTTTTTTAGTGTTAGTGTGGTCGAAGCACCGAACATTAGATTTTTTTTAATTAAAAATTTTCACGATTTGTAGACTAATTGTAAATAAAACTAATTTATGTTTTAAAATAACGGTTTTTGCTGTTTTAAAAAACAAACAAAAAATAAATAAATATAAGTACTAATCTGATAGATTTGATATATTTTTCACTTATGTACTAGTTTTTAAATTATTAAAAAAAAAATAAAACATATTTTTTTAAGGAATAAGAGGTTTAATTATTGGCCAAAAACGTTTTATTCTCGTTAATTTCAACGCTTTGTAGGTGTTATGGACCAGGTGATTAATGCGGGCGTTATTAATAATGTGCGAGCATTATGAATAATGTCTAGCTCTANGCGGGCATTATTAATAATGTGCGAGCATTATGAATAATGTCTAGCTCTATCGGGCTAAGTGATTAATTACTATCTAAACTTCATTATTTATCACATTGCACGGTCATTATTATATTGCTACGTGACAATTGGGCAGTTTGATAATAATGCTAAATTTGACACGGTGCGGGGAGGGAAGCACGCGTGACACGCTTTGACCAATCAGCGTGCGGCGGACTTCAAACGCTATTGTTTTTGTTTAGTTTAAATAACTCTGTTACTTACTACATATTGTATAATTATTATTTTCAATTTTATGTTCTATTTTACTTATATTTTCATTTGACTTTTATTAAGTTTAAAGTGCTGAAAACTATTAGATGCTAATTATGCCAAATAATGAGTCTGATTGTTTAAACTTTAGTTTATTTTATGTTTTATAATAATATGTCAAAACTTCTATAAAATAAAGATATGTTGTGAAATGTTTGTTTTAAATTTTATATGTTTTGTGTTACCTATATTTTTAATATGACTTTCCTTAAGTTTTAAATGCAGAAACTAGTGGATTCTTAATGTAGAAGTCCTTGCTAATTAATTCAAATAATTAGTCTGATTATTTAAATTGTTTAACATTTAGTTTATTTTAGGTTAAATGACAATAATAATTAAAAAAATAGTAATTAAATATGTTTGTATTACTCTGCCCAAAAGGTGACGGACAATATGTATAATGCCCGGTAATTATTTGAATAATTATTATCAAATTGCACACTCATATTGGGCATTTTACATAATGACCGGGCTTTATGTATAATGCCCGATTTACCACTTGGTCCATAACATAGGTACCTCATAAACGGTGGCTTTCTGCTCCTATATTCATAGAGTAAATTTTTGTTGTTTAGTACTTTCCCGAAGTTTGTCTATTAAAATCTGGACCACCCTGTATACGTATTTCTATTAAAACTTCCATAGATAAAGTAATAAAAAAGTTCTGACTAATTTTTATCCATCAAGGGCGAAGTTAAGTACGGATTCGTTTTTCGTGTCACAGAAAATCTAAAATTTTCAAAGTAATTTATTGAGAACTTTCTAAAAATTTAAAATATCGCATTATTTTGTTGTCTGAATTCTGCCCTTACTCTATGTCCCATTCATTTCGGAATACGCTGTATAATATACATATTAAGAAAAAATTGTAATATTATTACTTAACTTTATTAGATATTTATCCCATAACTTATCTAGGACGCAGCTCTTATTGGGAATTTAATTGTCTAATAACTGCACTGATGCAATAGTCAAAATTCAGTAGAGTGCATTTTGGAAAGTTGCCCACTCCTTTCTGATGTTAAAATATGTACTATTTGAAATACTTTTTAAAATCTCGATTTCATTCAAATTGTTAAAATTGTTTCAGAGGCATAAATCCATAAATGTTCAATTTAAACATTTAACAGAAATTTTCCCACAGACGATAGAACATATTTTTTATAAACATCCTACATTGTACAGGGTGTCACCTAACGAATGTTACATATCATGAATATAATCTAGAACCAAATGGTGTCGATTTAACCAAACTTGCTTAGACGAAAAATGTCGCATAAAAAAGTTATAGGGTGTTAAAGTTTCTTTTTTTATTTCTTGTTTTCTCCTTAACTCAGAACCCAGTTAACCGATGTGAGCAAAATTTGCTGTTGCTTAGTTTCTCTTGATGAAGCGATATTTTTCGTTTAAGTAACATTCGTTAGGTGACACCCTGTATAGACTGTTTTACCGTTGAGTGATGAGTTCATCACTCAACGGTTTTACTTAATCAGTAAAATATGAATGTGAATGAGAACATTTTTGAATTATTGTACCCTCTGTCGACCCATGTATTTTACTAGTTTTAATTTAAATTCATCAAAGTACAATTTGTGCTTTGAAGTACATTTTTTGTACAAATGTACAAATGTACACATGCACGTGAACCTTTAAAAATATGTGCAATGGTCAAGGCGGAAAATTTTTCTTAAAACGGAGAACCGCTTGTGACTCACTATGGAGGATATACTTCATTTCATTTAAAAAGTTATAAACCTAAAAACGACACATCATTTTAACTCAAAATGGAAAATTGAGCATTGACTTCACGTTTTAAATAAATTATGTAAAATAAATGTGCACATTTTTGTTTTAGCTTATCTAACGAGAACCGATTATAACATATTTACCGTAGATTGGAAAATCTTAACACAATTTCCATGCTACCTATCGGCATTATCTAATACTAGGCTTGTGGCTCAGTGTACGGCTAAATTATATGCATTTATAATGGATCAAGGAGGCGATGCAACAGATACAACATGTGTTGGTCATTCTTTAGGGGCCCATATATGTGGAATGATGAGTAACCATTTACATATCAAACAACATAAAATTGTAGGTAAGCAGTAATTTTAAAATATAAACTTTATCTGAATCTACCGATTCATGGTATGACTTGATTTTCAATCTAATTGTCTTAACTTGTCTTGAAATCAAGTCAACAGTTATAAACGAGTATGTATATTTTTTGTTGTTTTGAGATGTTCTATCATCAGGTAAAGTTTGACACGAGCAATTCAGGACTCTCTATATTTTAGTGCGAGATATTTGATTTTTTTTAATTGTATCTATATGAATTTAAGAAATTTTGGTCTGATTTATAAAGGTAATTGTATAAAAAGCTAAACCCTGAATATTTTAATTCTAATATTTTTATATTAAGGTGAAGAAATAAAGCATTTTTTGCAAATAAATAAATTACATGGATTCATTAACAGCATAACAAATACAAATTCACAGATGTCATCTTTCTTCTTTACTACTTTACTAAAACACATGTGACTTCTAATAAAATCTTATTGTGTTTTGTAACGCATAGCTCCAGAAGTCCAGAACACTGCATTTTTAGAGAGAAAGATGCTAGTTTTGGCATTGTAACTAGATTCAGGGAAACACCTTCGTGTTATAATATTGGTCTTAAAGATTTTAGTAAAACAAATAATGTCATACTGTTAAATAAGTATTAAAAAAACAAAAAATAAAAATTTGAACACAAGATTGAAAATTTACGTATATAATGCCAAATCACTGTGGTCTTGACCGGACCGTTTTTAATTTTCCTGATTTTTTGGTATTATTTAGTTCCCATTTAGAGTAGATGGCTTTCATGAAATGTTTTCAAATTCTTATGTCAACTCCTCAAGAAATTATGAGCATTTGAATATTTTGGGTACACCTGTAACTTGGCAAAAACTAAAGATATCAAACTTTTTTTAATTTTATTCGTTTTGAGATGTAAGTAGTTTTATTAAAAATATATATAAAAATACATAGGTAATACATTTTTAGTTTTTTGATTTTTTCTTGAAAAAATGAAGAAAATGAAAAATAAAATTTATGAAATCTTTAGTTTTGCCAAGTATTTGAACAGGTATTTGAACATTTTTACTCCAAAATATTCACATGCTCACCTTCTTGAGGGTTTAAAATAAAAACATTGTAAAATTCATAAAGGCTATCTCTAAATGGAAATAACACCAAAAAATCAGGAAAATTAAAAATAGTCCGGTCACGACCTCAGTGATTGAATGACGGAATCAACCATAAATGAACCATAAACATTTTTCTTTGATATTATGTCAATGTCAGAAACAATAGGTATTATATTTCTCAAATTTTTTTAGTTATTTCTTTATTAATCTGAAACAAATGATACTGATACGAAATTTTAGCACTATTTTCATGTTCATGACAGTGTAACTCTATTTGTGATAGATTTTTTTACGACTTTGATTACAAATTCTAATAAAGCGAATGAAGAAAACTTTCAGATTTAAATTTAACGAAGTTGCAAATAAAACCAGAACTAATAATTTTCAATGAAAAAAAAGTGTAGTTTGTATAAAAAATTGGTACGTTTATATTTGCAATATGATAGCGGAAACCAAGGCTAAATTTGAAAATGTGTTATTTTCGCTCTATAACAATGTCAAACCACGTCAAACTATATTTACATATTCTTTTACATTTAATTGATGGTTATTTGCTATTTTAAATATCAACCCTGTTCAAATTCAGTTATTTCTTTTTTATGTTAACCCGTTATTAAAATTATGTTTAAAAACTGTAATTTCTACTATAAAACGAATACAGGGTGTCCCGAAATTCATGCAACAAAATTTGGTCACAGATTCTTAAGACAAATTTAGTGGACCCGTATTTTTTATTTTTGCCAAGTGGCCCCTTCTTTCGGAGTTACAGCCCCCTGAAGTCCGCCCCTAAGAATAATCTTTTTTTTATATCTCAGAACCCTGTTGTACGAGAATCACTAAATTTGGTACACAGGGGTTTTATGACATGTGGAATCTGATGGTGCTATGTTTTTTGGCGGGGAACCCCCTTAAGTCAATTTTTCGTGGGCCCCCTTGTCTTTGGAGCCAAAAAAATTTGGTCGCATATGTAAATTTCCTAAAAATTATCAGTCCACTAGAAAGCCATTAAATTTAGAAACTTTTTGTTTCTTTGTACTTTTTTCGTAAAACGCATCGTTTTCGAGAAAAATGTCAAAATGTGATCGAATGCATATCTTGATTCGCCATTTTCCTCAAAAACATTGCATTTTATGAAACAAATATCAAGAGGCAAAAAGTTTCTAAATTCAATGGCTTCCTAGCTAACTACTAATTGAAAAAAAAAAATCAAATTTGCGACAAAATTTTTTTTGGTTCCAAAGACAAGGAGGCCCACGAAAAAGCGTCTTAAGGGGGTTTCGCGCCAAAAAGCGTAGCACTATGAGATTCCACATGTCATAAAATCCCTGTGTACCAAATTTAGTGATTCTCGTACAACATGGTTTTGAGAAATAAAAAGACTTCTTAGGGGCAGATTTCAGGGGGCTGTAACTCCGAAAGAGGGGGCCAGTTGGGAAAAACAAAAAATACGGGTCCCCTAAATTTGTCTTAAGAATCTATGACCAAATTTTGTTGCATGAATTTCGAGACACCCTGTAGAAAGTGTAAATCATTATTATGCGATTAATTCCAAATGTTTAAAAATTGTATAATTTATAATTTTTCTCGTAAATATGTTGTTTTAACAAAGTACTCAAATATTAAAAAAGAATCATACCGTTTTTTACCGTCCAAAACATTTTAAGCTTACATTTCAGAAACGGTACATTTTCAGTTTTTTATATATTATTATTTTTGCCTGAAATATATCCCCTTAAAGTTTGTGCTCTTCCTCGCGGAACAGGCTTATTATATGGCAAAGAAAGCACATGATTTCTGGTTTAGTTTCAACAAGAGGTGACTGGAATGCTACGTACGACAACAACAGAGTGGAAGATTGTTTACAGATAGGTCAAAGACCGAGCTATTTAGTGAAATGAGAAAAATTCTCATTTTAACATGGTATTTAGTGATTATGCCTTCTATTTTTCTAGCGCGATATTGATAAAGAGCAATAATAATACAATTGCTTATATAAAAGTAGGCGGATCAATATACTGATAGACAGTCAGGCGTCCCTAAAGGCATTGATAAATCGAAGGTTACGTTAAATTGGCATTAAAACGTCTGGAAGAACTGAAAGTTCTAGCAGACTCTCATATGTGAACTTTGCCTTAGATACTAGTATATTCACGAGTTGGGAAAAACTGACGAATAAACCAGAAAGGCTTGATCAGCTAACTACCACAATAAAAGAAAAATGTCAAACTTCTTTACCTCAAGGAAAATATAAATTTCCAGGAAATAGCATGAAATAGTGATGGTATTTGAAAAATATTAATAGGGCGTAGTTTTGAAGTACAGTTAAAAAAATATATCATTGTATAATAATAATTGTTACCAAGAACAAAACATTAAAGAAAGCCGTGATTAGCTGTGTTGTTCGTTAGATGTAAATTATTTATTCACTTATTTTGTTATACGACTCGACAGTTTAAATACAATTTAGGGAGCAGGGAATATTTTTGAAACACTGGAAATTACTATTTAAACACTAACCAGTTGTAACTTGTAAGTACTCAAATAATAATATTCCATTTCCTTTAGCTCCTTTAGCTCAATCTTTTACAACTTATCCTTCAAAATGTGTACATATTTGGTAGTTATACTTCAACTAGTTTAGAATGTATTAACAAAAAACATTGTCAATGGGTCACTTTTGAGCTATATCGATAAAGAGTTGGAATTAACCCCAAGTTCATTTGATACTTTTATGTTAATTTTAACAAAGGAGCACCCTGTAGAAGTTTACCAATTGAATTAAGGAACACTCTGTATATGTCAAATATCAGTTCGATTTATTGAAAAATGTAAATGAGTAAGTGGAGGTTATTTCAACTGCTACTAAACAAAACTCAAATGGAAATGATACTAGTAATTTAATAATTGTTTCAATGGAGAAAGGATACCAGCGAGTTTAAATCATGGATACTAAATCCACACGATTATCTGTGAAACAATGTCGAATTTTGTTAATGCCAGAATATAAAACATTTTACTAAGAAATATTATTACATAAATGGTAAATAAAAACAAATTTATTTTCTTGTTTAAAAAATATATACTTTATTATTAACTGTCATATTTATTTTCTATTTTAAAGGTGTTAAACTAATTCAAATAAATTTAAAAATTTTCCAAAAAATCCACTCAACTGAGGTTCAAAACTCTTGCTAAAGATCTAGGTATATAAGTTATGTATATCTAATATCATAGACAAGATTACGACGTAGAAAACAACTACTCCATGGATTACATGCTCAAAGTAGCATTGAATTATACAGGGTGTCGCGCTTAAATATGATACAAGCCTGTAACTTCTTTTGACCGATTTCAAAAATTTTTATTTGGGAATGTAGGGTAAAAAAACTTTATCTAACTGTGATACTGCTGTTTTTATTAATGCAGTTCACGGCCAACTAGGACGTGTTTTATTGACATCAAAACAGTTGATTGGTTTTAGCGATTTTTTTTTCCAAAAAACAGATTACGTGTTCTCATTCAGCATCCCTTAAAACGTCTTACCACCAAGTTTCATCAAATACATCTTGAGGCGAGCACTCCATGATGTCGCGAAATGTAATACAAGCCTGTAACTTTTTTATTTTTTGGCCAAATTCAAAAATTTTTATTCTGGAACGTAGGGTAAAAAAACTCTATCTACCTGTGATACTCCTGTGTTTTACTAATGCAATACTCGGCCAACTAGTGCTCGTCTGAAGATGTATCGAATTTGATGAAACTTGGTGACATTTTAAGGGATGCTGAATGAGAACACGTAATCTGTTTTTTGGAAAAAAAGTCGCTAATACCAATTAGCTGTTTTGACGTAAAAAAAATGCGTCCTAGTTGAAAAACAGCAGCATTACAGTTAGACAGTTCTTTTAAGTTTAAAAAAAAAATTTTAATTCGCTCAAAAAATAAAGAAGCTACAGGCGTGTCACATTTAAGCGGCACGACACCCTGTACCTACAGTAATATCTAGTAAACAGCTAGTAATTAATAACACAGGCCGATAAAGTTTTAAACCAGAAACCAACCAGTAGTTTTTCAAAGGTTTTGGCAGACTGAATCCGAATCCGACTTTAGAATTGCTTTATCATGTCAAGTTTTCGAGATATCTTAACCCAAAAATGTCAAAAACGTTATATTACCAGGTAATTTTCTCTTTAAAACTCGTTAGGTCATCGGAAAGTACTCTTCCCCTTCAAAATTCGTTATAAATCGTTCAATCTTTTTTCCCCTTCGATAAGTGGTCTGGTCAAAGTGATGATTAGCTTGGCGAATTCGTCGATATTCGGAAATCGAATAGCATCAGGTGGAGACCCCAAAAAAAGAGAAAAATCAAATTCACACTTTTAGAAGAAAATCTGTATATAAATATTTGTCTCTTAATGCATTGGTTTAAATAAAAAAAATCATAAAGGTTTCAAATTACGATTAGGACAATCAATAGAGCATTAAATCAGTGATTTTGTTACAAAAATAGTAATAGCAAACGGACTGTGCCATAATGTAAAAGACAGTCTGTAGATATGTACATGTTTCCTACTAAAAACGCATTTTTTAGTTGTTTGTTTATAAAACGTAAACTAACGAAGCAATCTGAATGCTATAAAGAGACAATTTGTAGATAATCGAAATACGATTACCCTCATTTCCCGACCTTCCTCCACTAATCACCCCGTACGTGCGCTCGGCCGTCTTTGAAATGTTTGGAGGAATTTTTCACCTATTTCTCATCATTTTATCGGGAAATTAGAATATACGTTTTCTAGTATTATACTTCTACTTTTAAAATCCGGATGAAAAATTAAAATCGGACCACCTCCAACGCATCCAGAAACTTTGCAAAATATTGCACCACAAAATTCAAATTGTAGTTGTGCCAAAACTAATGGTCTGACAGCGCCTGCTTTATGCACACTTAAAGTACGAATACTATTCACTACTTTTGTGCACAGGGTCAGCTCTATAACTTAGCAAATGGCGAAGTAATGAATTTTTTTAAAAACGCAAAATTTTCAGATATTTCCGGGTTTTCTTCGTTTCTAATTATCCGATCGGATCGATCAACCTCTTGTTTTATTCATATTTCGATTCTTTACAAATTGTCTTTGTATAGTATTCAGATTGCTTCTTTAGCTTAGGTTTTATAAGCAAAAAACTAAAAAAAAAATGCGTTTTTTGCAAAAAAATGTTTATAACAAATTAATTAATGGTAAATTGCATAGGAACCATATGAGCATACATCTATAGACTGTCTTTTACATGATGACACAGTCCGTTTGCTACTATTTTTGTCACAAACAAAACCTCTATTGATTGGCCTAGATCAGCATTAGGTATACTTTGGAAATTCAAGGTGGCGGATCCTATATACGAGTGAGGTTATAACACCATAAGCCTAGAAATCGAATTTGTTCCCCCGTAGAAATTTCCACGGGGAACAAATTTGAGTACTGTAGGCTGTAATTCCATAGCTCTAGAGATCGGATTTCGAAGCCCAAATAAGATCGTAGACTCCTGAACTTCATAGCCCTGTAAAATGAAATTTCCAAATATCGGCGAGCATGACAAATTAATTAGTAATTACGTTGAACAGACCATTTCTCGGAAAAGAAAGAAGATAAATATCTTCTTCAAAAGAACAGTTCATAATGGATTTTAATGGGAAAGAGTAGTACCTACTTTCAGATGCCATAACGAATTTTTTGTATATATTATATTTGTTGCTCTAACATTATTGATAAGGACCAACACGTAAAGAATACCACAATATGAATATATCACTATTTCTACATTTTACTTAGGATTGCTTTTTCAAGTAGCATCATTGAACGTGTAATTAATAAGTACAAATAGAACAAAATTATATACAGGGTGTTTCAGAAAACATGGGCTAAAGCTAGAGGGCAGATTCCTTACTTAGAAACAAGATTATTTTATCACGTCAACATGGGTCCGATTTCGCTTCTTTCCTTAGCTACAGCGTGTCAATGTTTTAAAATATTTTTTTCCAAATATCTAGATTTCCACTTGAGGGAAATAAATGAAATTTGGACCACTAACTAATTACAACTGAATATACATTCCTAGGTATTATTATGTTGAACATGAATTACAGGACCGGACTTACGTGCAAGCCATTGGATTTAAATAAAGAAAAAATTGGTTCTCCGTTGAAATTTCTAATTTAAATGTGCTCGGAAATTAAAATTTTAATAATCAACGTAGCGGCGACATGGAAGACAGAAACGTCAAACTAATGTCTCTTAATCATAATTAGTAAATTCACGATTTAAATGTGCATGTAAAAATGCCGAACGTCAGGTAATCCTTCATTGAACTTACTGATATGCTGCTTTGTTATGGGGAGACAAAATTCGAATTCTGCGAGAAGATTGTATTTAGATAAGTTTCCTTTAAAAAGAGTTCCTGACAAAATTTTTTTTGAAAATATTGTTATGCGATTATGTGATCGGGGCCGGCAGACAAAGACATCGACGACATCCGGAAGTTGAGGAATTTATTTTGAATAGAGTTGAAAATGAACCGACGGCTAATACAAGAACCGTCGCTAACGAAATCGGCATATCACCAGCTTTTGTTTTAAGGACACTCCATGAGCACGAGTTTTACTCTTTCATTTTACTCGAGTTCAAAGTTCAAGAATTATTACCTCGAGACTACGCATCCCGACTGCAACTTTGTCAGTGATTTCAACAAAAAAAAAAAAAAATATGCGTGATCCAGATTATCTGACTAGAGTGTTATTTACTGAAGAAGCTTGTGTCAGTAGAAAGGGTATTACAAATTTTTTTCACAACCTCCATTCTTGGTGTGACGAAAATCCTAATTTGATTAGTCAATTCGCAGTACCAATTCTCCATAAACATATGGGCAGGGATCGTTGGCAGTTGGCTCCATAGAACTTCAAAATCCCCTGAGTCTTATCTCAACTTCCTTCAAAATGACCTTCCAGATTTGCTTCCTCTAAACATGAGAAATAATCGTTTATGGTTCCAACATGACGGAGCACCGACGCATTTTACGGCTCCAGTTCGACATCTGAATTAAATTTTTGGAAACCACTAGATTGGAAGAGGTGCACCAATTGTGTGGCCGCCTCATTCTCCAGATATAACATCCATAGATTTCTACCTCTGGGGACATCTGAAAGAGCTTGTTTATAAAACTCCTATCAGCGTGTATCAGACGCATTCACTTTAATTCGCCTAGACATAGGGATATTTCGACGAGTTAGAAAGACCATCAAAAAACGAATTCGGGGTTGTATTCGAGCTGAAGGTGGACACTTTCAACATTTCCCGTAAAATGTTATATTATGTTTATCGAGTTGTTTATTCATCATTGTAGGTACGTTTACAGTTCATAATTAATTCTAGATAAATAAATAATTGTTTATTTTAATAATTCATTTAAAATACCGAAAAGTCGAGGAAAAACGAAAAAATAGTAAGAGTCAATTTTTGATCAAAATTGAGCTAGAACATGCAATTATAAATTAGAAATCTCAACGGAGAACCAATTTTTTCTTTGATTAAGTCTAAGGGCTTGCAAGTAAGTCCGATCCTGTAATTCATATTCAACATAATAATACTTAGGAACGTGTATTTCATGTTATATAATAATTATTATTAATTTACTACCTGTTTACTAGATATTGATGGTACAGAGCCTTCATAAATGATTACAAACCACGTGACCTGTAATTTTGTTTGGAACAGTAATTTTATTTCCTTCCCGTTGGCAATTAAATTTCGGTAAAATTAAAAATTATTAAAACAATAAGATCAAGATGACGTTAAAACAACATATTCTGTTTCACGCAATTTTTCACGAGATTTTAGTCAACCAATTCGCATCGCATTATCTCGAGCGTAGACGTAACGATTTGTTATTGTTCATTGTAAACGAATTATTAATATTGGTGACGCTAACATTTAGGGATTTTTACTTGACAATACCAGCCGTGCAATGTTGATTGCCTAAGCTTGACGGTCGCGTGGCTTCTAATCATTTATGAAGGTACTGTATAATTCATTGCTAATTGAGGTTTGTAATAGAGTAGTTGTTTCCCGCAATATCATCGGTTAAGAGTCTCATCTATAGATATATTTTGCATACCTAGATTTTTGATATCGAAGAACATTATTTGACTTCATTTGACAGGCTTTTTAGGGACATTTTTGAATTTATTTCAAAATAAAGTAAAACTTTATTTTCTATAGGATTAGATCCAGCAAGGCCTCTAATCGATCGTTATGCCAATAAAAATTTCAAACTCACCAAAGACGACGCATATCAGGTACAAATTGTTCACACAAATGCAGGATTTTTAGGTGAAGTTAATCAAGTTGGACATATCGACTTTTGCGTCAATGGAGGACGTTTGCAACCAAATTGTAAAGGAAACAGATTGCGTAAGTATGCAATAAATTTTACAATTGAACTGCTTAAATATGACAGTTATTTTCTCTCAAAGATCGGTTCAAGGCGAAATTCAGGTTCAACTAACAACTTATGTAAGCATAACTTATTTCTGCATTTTAAATATTATTTTTTCAATTACCATTATACCGTAGGTATTAGGGTGCTTTCTTTTGAAACGTACCTATATTTCTTTTTTTTTCGCTCCACTGACAAAATATTGATCTAACCATTGGAAAAAAATCCTCACCAAATTTCAGTTCTTAATTTTAATTTTTGGTACTCGCTATTTGATTTTAAAATTTTCCTCTTCATTTAACACGTAACTTACGGTTTCCTTTTAAAAAATCTATATCTCGGTTGCATTTCAGGTTATATTATAATGCGTCCCAGAAGTAACGCAAATAATTCGTATTTTACTTTGTGTTGAGTTTTCACAAAAACGCTAAAACACGTCAGTTAGTAAATAGGAATTGTCGTTTTGTCATGTTGGTTAAACCTTTTTTACGCTATGTTTCATAAACCTATGACGTCATCGACATTTTTTTTAAATGGCACTACCTTATTTTTTAAACATAAATGGATAGCCCTTTTGAAGGGAAATGCGTCGATATAGGGTTTGTCCTACTTTACTTTGACAGGTGCGAAAAAAGACAACGATTGGAATGGACATGGTTTGAATTAATAACAAAAGTAGGTATTATAAACTGATGCGAGAACAGTGCCACAACAAAAAATGGAATTTTTTTTTATCGATTTTTGTATTTTTCTCATAAATGACTAATGTAATGATTACTGCAAAACATTAGTAACATTTTTATAGGAAATTAAATTGGCTATAAAGAAGGTCCTCAGTCTCTAAACTGTCGAATTATTAGTTCACGAGAAAAATAAAAATCAAATGTGTGAAAACTAACTAACTAATATCGTACAAAGATATTATACAAGGATATTTTATTATGCCTGATACTTAAAACGTGAAAGGGTTAATTTTAAAAAATTTCTTTTCAGTATGGAAGAAATACTAAATTAAATAGAAACGAGAAAATAAACCATAAACCTGGGGAGTCAAACTTGAAACATGTTTACAAGTTATTTCATTTTTTGGGGGTTCATTATAAAAAACAAATAATGATACTGCTCCATTCAACTAAATATTACTGAAATTTGACCACCGACTCGACTAGCTTGGCAGTTTCGTTTATTACATATTTTATAACTTTTAATACTGAATAATCTTTTTCTCTTCGCCGCTTTTATTTTTAGATCGAGCAAGATGCAGTCACTTTCAAAGTGCTTGTTATTTTGCCCAAACAATAAAATTTGAGAATTCCATGATGGGAAGACCGTGTCTTGCTAGTTGTCCAAAACGAACATCTAATTGGGGATATTTGCCGGGAAAACCCATCCCGATGGGACCAGAAACACCTTTTGGGTATGTATATAAATCAATACATTCATATTCATAATCACATACAGGGTGTTTCTGAAATAAGTGAGTTCCTTTTGAAAAGGGTGATAAAGGGCAGGAAAATAAGCAACTTTTATTAAGCAACTGATGGTCTAAAATATTGTTTTAAATTTAAAAAAATTCAAATGAAGATATAAACAAATTTAAAGCCTTCCCTAGTGCGACAGCCAGCTGTACCTTTGATACCGAAATTGCCGCGCGCCGCAGTGCGAAAGCGCTGATGGCGGTTTTGACGGTTTACATTTTATGTTCGAAATGCTAAAATCTATTCAAATCTCGTTTAAAAGTAACACAAAAATTAAACCAATAAACGAATTACTTACCAATAGATGATGTGCTCTACAGAAATTGTTCAAAGTTGTTTCCATGTGCTAATAAACATGTTTCCAAATGACGGTCAAAATTAGTTAGCTTTGTTGAATCCCATTAGCTGCAGCAAACATACGCTGTAAAATATCTACTACATCGACACTAGGCGTTCGGTACACATTTTTGTTTCATGTCGCCACTGGACTATATAATTTATTACAATTTAACCCAAATTATGAATAATAGTATACATATATTACAAGTACCTTGAAAGAGAGAAATGTGTAACTTACCCCACCTTTAGTTTTGTGAGTTCTATATATCCATATGAGTAAATATTTACTCTTATGTATATATCTATAATAAGAGATTTGTTGATTCGCTACACTTTGTACAAGTATACGGTGATTTTGTTTCCTGAAAAATTAATAACAATAACCTCTTTGGTTTTGCCATACTTAAAAGAATAAGAAGTCAAAAAAAATTATGGAAAAAAATTAACTTCTTTTTCACTAAGCTATTAAATTGCGGCTGGTAAGAATAAAATAAATCATTGATCATTTTCTACCATTTTAAAGGGAATGTTTTGTAACTTTAAAACAAATGAAGTATCATCAACCCATGTCAAATATGGTCAGAAATTATTCAAAGAATGACCCTCTAAAATCTAAAGTTAACATGAACTTGGAAACCAATTAACCAAAATATTACTGATATGCTTGTCACTTATGAATCTGTTAAAATTTAAGTAAACTTTTTCTTATATTTTTAACTGGTTGAAGTTGATAAAAATAGGAAAAATAACTGTAAAATTGTTAATTTCAGAGTTTATGGAACATACTGTGTGCAAACAGATACCCACAAGGACTGCCCATTTTTCGACTAATTTAATAATTTATTTTATTTTAGATACTTATTAATTTGTTATTTTATTTATCAATAAATTGTCAAACATATTTGTATTATGTTGCCCACTCCTATCAATTTGTAAAAAAAATGATATAAGTAAAATATATTGAAAATATCACATGTAATTTGAATGTAACATATCAACATATCCATCAATAGATGTTAAAAATATATATTTCTACAAAGATGAAAGGTTAGAATTATTTGGAATTTGAACATAAGTAAAAATTTAAAGACTGGAAATTTACAGAGAGATTTCAAACCATGTCATGTGCATATAACAAATATAAATACAGACCAGAGGATTTAATCTCCAGATTTAGAGTTTTTTCTAAAGCAAACGATATGTCTCAAAAAGTACGCATGTCTAAGTCGATGAGCCCAGAAATTGTTCAAAGAAACTTGTTCAAATCTTGATTAACTTGTATGCAATGTATAAAAAAAACATTCCTAAACTTTGAAAAACATAATAGGTATACAGGGTCGGAAAGTCCCCATGGTTCATCGGCCGTTACATGAGAGCGATAAAGAAAGTCATAGAAATCCGTGCGTTAGAGAAAGATGGCTATAATGAAGGCGTCTAATAGTCACTGCCCGTTTCGCCCTTCCACAAATAAGAAGAGGAATTGACTATTAAGCGTCTTCATTATAGCCATCTTTCTCTATCGCATGGATATCTATGACTTTCTTTATCGCTCTCACGTAACGGCCGATGAACCATGGGGACTTTCCGACCCTGTATAAAAAAGGTGACAAAACTGATAACGGTAAGTATAGACAATTGTTTGTAATTTTACAAGATATTTGAATTTTTACATAGCGACTCGATGTTCTAAAAATTATATATTTTTTATGCACGGTTTCCATAAATGTAGATTGATGGTAATCTTATGAAGCAATGCAAGATGTAGCTGAACCAATAGATGATAGACTTCAAATGGCCATAATATACACGGCTGGAAAATCCACATAGTTCATCTGCCTTATGTAAGAGTGACAAAGTAAGTCATAAAAATCCATACGATAGACAAGGATGGCTATATTGAAGACGTTTCATAATTTGAATAGTCAATAGGATGCGCTCGGTTAGAAGTGGGAGCGACTATTCAGATTATGAGACGTCTTCACTATAGCCATCATTGTCTATCGCATGGATTTCTTTACTTTGCTTTGTCGTTCTCATGTAAAGGCAGATGGACCACATACTGTTGCCACCCATGTATACTGACTTCACGAAAACCTTTCATCGTCTAGATCAGAGGTCCTCCAACTTTTTTGTCTCAGAGACCATGTGCCAATTTTTTCTGTTCTCCATTTTTGCCTGCTCGCCTGCATGAGAATTCCCAGGATGCTCAAGTGTCTCCCCTACATGGTTTAATTAGTATCCTTTTTATGTGTTTCTTGTTTGTGTGTAAGGTTTTCTACTGAACCTTTGCATTTTTCTGCACTAAGCACTTTGATTTATGTGGGGCACAATCGAGTGTGGTACCTCTTTATTTCTGTCTTTAGCGCGCTGAACTTGCTCAGTATAGTTTATGAGTGCCTGTATGGACGTTTTACGAGCTTGAATGGAAATTTTAAGAGATTGAATTTATGAGGAAGCTTTAGAGTTTGATTCGAATTTTACCTCCTTGGAAGGCTTGTGTATGGCAGCTTTAGTTGTATATCCCTCAGGATCTTCACCGCAATGTGAACAAAGCCTGGCTGATAGTGTGCTAGGAAGTAACGGCAGCTTTATGAGAAATGTTTAAACTCGAATTTAATTTCTGTATAAAGGTTGTTACACACACTCATGCAAGTCGGCCAAGTTGGCTTGTACAAGCCCAATCGGTCAACTAGCACGAGCGTGTATAGCAGCATGTGCCCTGCTACACACACTCATGCAAATCGACTTGGCTTGCACACCACATAGACTTTTGGTGATGTCCTTTTTATTAAGAACGTGCGAGAGAGTCGTTTCATCTGTTTCTTCTGATATGTTGTCGGACGATATTTTAATTGCAATAGCAATTGAATTAAAAAAAAAGGTGGAAAAAACGATCATGGTAGACAAAAGACTGGCTTAAAAAACGGGAATCATTTTCACATGTAAATTTATTGGAAGAATTGCGATTGGAACCTCGTATTTTCTTTATAAATCTCAATAAACTCAGAGACAAACTCTCTTGACAAACTTCTCAGGTCGGCCATTGCAAACACGTGACTATTCAATTGTTTTGGAATAAAGTCGGCCGATTTGCTGATCAGATTCGCATACACACTACGACTTGCTATTAAAAAGACTGCACGCAATTGAATTTGACCAATTTAGCTCATGACCAACCTCAGATTCAATTCAAACCCCTATTTCAGGTACACACACTCATACAAGTCGGACGACTTGGCTTGTACAAGCCAACTTGGCCGACTTGCATGAGTGTGTGTAGAAGCCTTAAGACAATGTATAAAATTTGGAGAGTACACATGTATGTACGTCGCTGGTTTTTGAACTGGAAGTTAAATTTTCCACCTTATTCCCTATTCTGTTTCTCTATTCGACACACTTTGGACTCAATGAGTATTTTAAACTGGACTATCGAGTTATTTACATCAGAGAAAAATAGTCTGTGTCTATGTATGTAAAAAAAGAAAAAGAGTACACTCACGTTAGTAAGTTCCTCTGGACTGGAAGCAAAATTAAATTCCAGAAAGCCGGATTTACAGTTTCTAATTTAGGATTGTAAAATTTATATTAGCTTACTGCTTTTGAAGATATTGAGTAAATTTTATAAAATTTAGTACAACTTTGGGGAAAACTGCACAATATTTTTTCGTTCACAACAACAACCCTGCGTCAACTGCAACTGATGATCGCATTGTGTTCTTGACATAGTACTTTTATTGTTATTTTGTGGTTCTTCAGTTCAAATTCCGTAATATTCGGAAAACTTTTCATTTTCCAAAATTCAAAACTAAGGTGAATTTTATATTTTTGCAGCACGTTGTCGGTGGCTACTCTGCCAAAAGCATCAGCCTGCTGCTTCAGTATTTGAGCTGGCTCGGCTGGAAGCTTCTTCGGAAGAGAAAATTTTTTGAAACGGGTAAAAACGTAATTTCCGCGCCGTGCCTTTTACTTCTCGTGTAAGATGATTTCGATAATTCATCACACTTTCCAAAGGGACCACGAAGCCGGAGAAAACCGTCCCATGCCAAACTGACCATAGCGAGAGCTGAGGACAATGTCCCGAAGAACCCACAGTCCCAAAGCGACATTACAGGGAATGCGGCGCAGTATTATTCGCCCCACTTTCCAAAATACCGTCGTTGCTCGTCAAAACAGCTCCATTTTTTCTCCAATAATATTTTCATATTTGATTTTAATAATATAATAGTATACAGGGTTATTCACGCTATACGGCATGGACTATTGTGACCAAAATACGAAACTTTCAAAAAGTTTCTCTTTTGGGATATATGGGGGTCTATTATGGTCACTTTTTAAAATTATTTTCATATTATACAGGGTGTCCCAAATGTCCTAAAAGTATCAAAGTTGTGTTTTTTTAAGAGGAATCCCCTATATATTATTGCATTTTTGGATTCTCCAATCAAAATAAGTGTCTGTTTTAATAAGGTGAATAATATCTATACCTTAAGGTTTTTTAAATAATTTATTTTTTTATCAAAATGTAACCTAATTTTCTCATTTCAAATACTTAAGAAGTGTATCAGGTATGTAAGCGAAATTTACATTGAACTGTAACAATAGATCATATTTTATATCAATCATAATAAACTTGCCATCTTATACAGGGTGTCAAAAAATTAAAATTAATCAAATAAAAATTTTAAGTGGCTATAACTTGATTAATTTAAATAAGACGCCATATTTTTTAACTTACCAGAAAATGTAATTTTTAATTACCTATCGAATGGTATTAGGCTGTTCATAGCTAAGTCTTTGCGTTTTTACAGAATATGCCAAATAATCGTTCTTTGCATCATTTCGTGTATTTTACATAAAAGTTCTAACTCTTGACAACATTTGCGGGGTTACAGTTTCAAAATCGTCTCTTATGCGTATTTTCATATCTTGTGGGAGGCCAATTTTGAGATCTATTTCTTCCAATCCACCTGTATGAAAAGTTGACAACCAAAAAATGCCTAACCTCGCAATGATAATGAGGCGCAGCTCCATCCAATTGAAGCCACATGGTTGTTCTAACGTTTAAATGAACTTCTTCTAATAATACTGGAAGTTAGTGTAAAAGAAAATTAAGACACTTCATACTATTTAAAGTTCCTTCAAAAAAATAGGGTCCAATTAAATATGGGCCCAGTATTCCACTTCAAACAATATCGGACCACCTATTCTGATTTCTTTAACTCTGTATTGATGCGGATTCGAATCTGAATAGTAGTGAAAGTTGTGTCTATTCACGAGACCATTTTTATGAAAAGTGCATTCGTCACTAAATAACACTTTATCAAAAAAGTTTACATTTCCTGTCACTTTATCTAACACAGGCCCGGATCCAGAGGGGGTGGCGATGTGGCGATCGCCACCCCCAAAGCACAACATTTTTTAAANCCACTTAAAGTTCCTATTCGATTAATTTTAATTTTTGGTTACGCTGTATAAGATGGCAAGTTTATTATGATTGGTATATAAAATATGATCTACTGTGACACTTCACTGTAAAAAAAGAAAACGCCAATTTGCTTAGAATGGGCAATGATTACTATTTGCAGCAGGACAAGGACCCAAAGCATATAACTTATGTAGTATGTCATTGCGTTCAATATATAGTCCAGTTAGTAGAGGTTCGGGGTGTGTCAAACCTTGATAACTCGGAAATAACTACACAGGTCCACTTTAAATGATGAGTACAATAACAGGCTAATTTGCTGACAAAGTATTTTATCAGGAAAAAAAGTTATTTAATCGTGAAAAAAAATTTTTTTAGTAGTTTTCTTTAAATAACTCAGCGGGATGACTTTGTACGAAAAAATGCTTAGGACATGATTTTGTTCGTAATAAAAATAGCTACAAAATGGCGGTGGTCCGATTACGAAATTTGCAATAACAAAGCCGTGAGATTGAAAAAACGGTATAAAACGCCAATTTTTTTAAGTTGCTGTAAAAATGTCAATTATAAACAAAAAGTGATAAAACTTTCGAAAACTATAGTTCAATATATAT